CGACAGCGCCGGCCTCGGCGGGGCGCGCCCCGCCGGTTCCGGCGCTGTCGGCGCGGCTGTCCCGCAGCAGGTGTCCGTGTCCGCGGAGGAGGAGCCGCGGTGTCGGCGGGCAGGTGCCGGCGCCTCCGCCTGCCTCCAGCCTCCATCCTCGCCCCGGCCCGCTCGCTTTCCCCACCCCCGAACACACCCTGCCGGCGGGGGAGGCCTCTCGCCCGCCGCGCTCCGTCTGCGGCGGGAGGGTTTTCATCTCGCTGCGGGGAATATAGGTCAGAAACTCGTGTGCCCGCCCGCATCGTGCAGCCCCGGTGACCCCGCGGCGCGGCCCCGGCCCCGGGCGTGTTTACATGGCTCGGGAGCGCGCCCGAGAGCGCTCGGTGCAGCGCTGCTCTCCTGAGCCCTGGGTAAAATGGAAGACAAAAGCATTGATCCCAACTCGCCATGGCACGAGCTTTATGCTGGTGTTTCTGTTCGTTTGTTTTGTTTGGGGTTCGAGTTTTTCTTTCCCGTCGAAGTATTTCAGCACAACTTTAAATTATATAAAGTCGATTGGGTTGTTGGGAAAAAATACCTAGACTTTATTTTTAGTAAGATAACTTCCTAACTTCGCTTCTAATGAAAAACCTAGGGTATGTTTGTGATGGATAAGAGAAAAGAGATGGAGAGCAGGCAGTTGTGCAAGCTCAATGTTCTGACAACAATACCCCTTGTTACTGGAAATTCCTTGGGCATTAAAATGGAAAAGAACTTTAAACATCCAAGTTACTTTTTTTTTTTTTTTTAAGTTTGTTTACTCTTTTTGTGTTTACTGTTGAGGTCTGGGGTAGAACCGGGTAACCCGATTTGCATAGGCCAGTGCCTGCCCACCCAGCATTCCTCTGCCTGCCCAGGGATCTGCATGGGTGCCTCCAGCTCTGGGGCCGGGGGCTCTGCTTGGCCGACCCAGCGCTGACATGTGGTTCTGTCTTTCCGTTCTTGCCTCTTATCTCACTCTTATTATGGAGTTCACCATCCAAGTATGTTATGAGTATTTGACCACTATTATTTAGGGGTTTGGGGCCTTTTTATATATTTAACTGAGTGCATTAATTTTTGACGGGAAGTATTTTAGCCTACCTATGAAGATATGTGTGGATTGTTCGAAGTACTTCACAATAACTCTACTGCTATTAGTCTGTGCAGTTAAATAACACAACACACAGTGTTTACTTCCATTTTAATTCTTTGCTCTTATTACCTAATACAGTGGGTTTTAAGTTGCAGAAGGAGTTTCTTTTTGAACTCCTCTCTCTCTCCCTTTGTTATAACAGAGCATAAAAATGAATTGCTGCTACAGACATCAATCTCAGATGTTCAGTTACTCAGTATATTTAGCAGCAAAAAGCTCTATAATGATACAACTTCTGTAACTAGGAGAAAAAAGTGGTCATCAGTGACATACTGCTGGGAAAGACTTATTCATTTATTATGGAATATCAATAACATATGAAGACTATACACACAATAAACTATTAGTTGCAACATTTGGTTTACTATCAGTAAATGTTGATTGTAATTTATTCAAATGATACATGGCAACTAAAAACTAAAGAAACATAAAATGTGATGGAGGTTTAATATTTCTGATATATATTTGCCTCGTTGAGCCAGTTTCCAGTTTTGTGTGTTAAGTGTCCTCAGTAGCATATATTCCAGACTTCAGGACACTTAAAATGAAGTTGTTTGAAGTGGTAACAGATAAATGTCCAGGTTTGAATTGTAAAGGTGATGTTATGCCCTTGATCCACGCATGAAGCTTATGGTATTGCGTGGATCAAGGACATGCTGAGGTCCCAGAAAGAACAATGAAGGGTAACACAGCTTCCCCTGATAACTATACTTACTAGTTCATGAAGTGTAATTTGAGACCTCTTTCACCGTCTGCGGTCAGCACAGTAAATGCTGTTCACCTAAGCGTGGCCCTTATATTCTTCTTGTTTATTTTAGTTTTTCATGTATTATTCAAATACCTTTAATACTTGTTACTTCACTCAGGCTGTGAAGTGGAATAAAACCATTTGTATGTGAACACCAGTAGCAGACTGGAGCAAAAGTTTTGGAGTATTTCTAGGCAGAAGTTGCAGGTGAATGAAATCTGAATGCCGGTGAAGTTTCTCAAGCTTAGCCACCAAAAGAGTGAATTGGGCTTGTGTAGCAGGAAGAGCAAGAGACTTGTGTGTATACAGGAGATGGAAAGCTTCAGTGTAATCTGCTACATCCTTCTTTCTGTGCCCTTCTGCTCCAGGTTCTCCTCATGTGCACTGGATTTTGATTTGGAGGACCAAAATTAAAGGTTATCCCTTAGTAAAGAGAAGCTTAGGTGTACCCATTTTAAACAGCTTCGTGGTTTTCTAGGGGGCACAGCAGCCTGCAAATTCTCAGAGCCCTTTAGAAGAGTAATACAAATACCTGTCTTTTGAAATCTGAAGACAGAATTATCAGTTGCCTTAAAAGTTATTCTAAGTTTGATCCCTCATCCTAATATTTATTTAATTATTCACTTCATTGTTTGTTGGGATTTTTTCAGCTGCTCAATTTACAGTAGTTGAGAACTTCTTTTGCAACCTAGAAGTTAAAAATGTCAACATGTAGCAGGTTACATTTAAAGTTAAAAAGGCTACAGGGAGTCTACCTTAGGTTGTTGTGATTAATACAGGAAAATGTTAGCTTAATTATTATTCATTATCTTGGAATTATTTGTTGAAGTAGCATGAAACATAACTTAGGTTTAAAAATGGCCACATAGTAACTTTTTAATTCAGTAAGTGAATCTGTTACTTTTAAGATCATTATTGATTACATGAAACAGAAATGTTGTAACTTTGCTAGAACTTTTTTCTAAAGTAGAAGGAATGTCAGGCCAATAAATTATATAGTTTGTAGAAAGTTTTGTGTGTGTTTTTCTTCAGATAACTCAATATTACAGATTTTTAAAAGTAATGATGATGTATGGCCCTGAATTATTTGCCCCTTTAGATATGCAAGATAATGTCATACATGACAGCAAGAAATTTGGCTATAAATTAATAGTAATCTCCCTTGGTGTTTTGTTTGTGGTTTTTGTTGGGTATTTTTTGTTTGTTTCCTGCTCTCCCCCCCCCCAGTTCCCCACTGTGCCCCTGCCTTCCCCTCCTCCCAACACAAGAACACTTAGCTGTGATATTTTCTGTTTCTGTGAGATCACCAAGCTGGGTTAGAGACCCGGGGGTTAGAGTACACTCTTTGGTGACCGGAAGATTTGTATGCTTTCTCTTATTCCAATAGATTTTGAAAATCTTTGGGTTTGGCTTCTGAGTTCTATTTGCTGGGATTCAGATGGCCCTTGCTGTTCTTTCTGTAGCAATATATGGCAGCAAATTGCTCTTAAAATGTATTTTAAAAGTAAACTACACAATTTTCAAAGCATAATGCTGTGTACGTATCTTGTTACCTGGTAGCCAGATCTCCAGCTTCCAGTGCGTGAGGAATTTATTAATCTAACGTGATTTTACTAACTTTGACTTCTGTGATCTTTAAATAGCCAAGTACAGTGT